AGATAGATAGATAGATAGATAGATAGATAGATAGATAGATAGATAGATAGATAGATAGATAGATAGATAGATAGATAGATAGATAGATAGATGAGTGTATGTGTGTGTGCGTATATGTATCTATTATGTATATATGTCTCTGTCCCCGTTAATCTTACACATCACGTGCAAAATGTACCTTTTACTGTATGTTTCTTTTTCTAAAAGACGATGCTAAAACTAAATGTACGCCATGTTTTATCTTGCGCAAACCAAAAAAAACCCATAATGCAATCAAAGTAATTATAACCTCAAACTTATAATGAGAAAATGTTTTATACAAGATATGGCCACTGAAACTTAGCTCTCTGTATATATCGAAAAGGGTCGGGGTGGGGCTGATGCATGATAAGTAAGTTATCCTCAAACGCCAACATACCAACTTGTACAATAACCAGCCAGATGCATCAGGGTGTGAAGTATAATGGCTTCACAGAAATAAATCTACCTAAAACGTGTCCGTAAGCGAGGTTCCTAGCAACCTGACCTGTATTGCGATCCCTCTAAAAGTGTATCAGTATCACAGTTTGACTGGCCCCCGAAGCCACAGCTTTTATTTAAATGCGTCTTTTCCCCGAAGACATTCCCTCACACCGGTCAATTTGATTCTCTGCACCTAAGGGTGGGAAGCGACCTTCTCCTCTCACTGTTGACCTTTACGAGCAACTCTTGAAGCGAATCAAAGAGGTGGAAACGTGTTCAACTCGTGAAAGGACGAATTAGCACCGAGTCGGTAGATGTCTTGATCCCCACGCATCGTCCCGAGGGCAGTCACTTGTAAGCAATTACTATTCCATAACACGACCATATATCGCCCTCCAATGTCACAAGCGCCAGCAAGCGTGGGCGTTTGTACAAAAGCTTAAACTATAGCGACACTTCGCTACCTTAGAAATACAAAGTTCTATCTGACATTTTTTTGCCGTTTTTGAGTTACTAAGACCATTAGGTCAGTAACCAACGTTCCATCTGCTCTATCAAATTCGTCTGATTATTCGGAGTCGTTATCAAGATATTCAAAGAATTGCATTTGAAAAAGCTTGACATGTTGTGAAACTCAAATTACTTTACGTCAAATTTCTCAAAACAAGGTACTGAGCAGATAGACCTTTGTAATTCTGGGGTAACGACTAGTTGAAAACCATTTTATGAGCCTGTGGCTGTTCAGCTGGGGGAAGGGTCAAGGTACTTTTCACAGCTGATGCTTTTGTCCGCGGCTGTCAAACAGACGGTTCGTGGAATTGTTGGGGTTTGCAGCATATGGCCGGTAATCACTGGGAGCTTGTGTATGATGGGTGTGGTTAAGCTGTTTGAGTGGAGAATTTCAGTAACGGAAAAAGGGGACTTACGTCTTGGATTATTATTGCTGACCAATCTAATGATAAAAGCAATGGTGAAATGATGAAATTTAAATAACGATGGTTGCTCGTCAAGGTCTACTGATTCCTCCTTGGAGGATTTTCAAGGTCATTGTAGTTCACACAAGCCACCACAATCTCTGCTGGGTACAACGGTAACAATTGTCTCTTTGGCTGGAGCGTAAACGAAAACAAGAAAGTGTGAAAAGATCAGAGTAGCTTCTATCCATGCGTTTCAGCAAAGACCAGATCTCAGGTCTTGTCTCGTTCGCAACAGAACAATGAGATATTGGATCTGACAGGTTAAGTGTTCTACCAAAGCTTGAACATATAATCATGCTACTGTCGGCTGTTCTTTCTGTGTCTACTACTGGAATTTTTGTGAGTTTTTTTTTTTATTAGTCCAACTGGGACTGGGGACACTACGAGGTTAAAGACAAACGTGGAATGATGAAGCAAGATGTACTGTATTAGAGAGAGACCGACAGGTAAACCAAAATGGTTTTGATAAGAAAGAAATTCCTTGAAATCTGTGTTTTAATTGAGAGAGTTTCGACACAAGAAAGTATCAAAAGTTACTCCACACCAGACGTAGGTATAAAAAGATGAAAGGTGAATATTGTGATGACATAATATCAAGAGAAAATAACTTTTTTATTATTTTTTTAAAATTACATTTTTTGAGTTGATTCCAGAAAAAGAATACGGATGGTAAAAATGAATGAATCTATATTTTCAGTTCAAGACACATAAAGGCTGTGTACTCACCAGAGTAGCAGTTGATGAGCTCCTGTTCACGAATCTTCATGATGGACCTGACTCTCTCGTGACGTCCTCTCAGCGCGCGGTGTTTGGTCTGCAGCGCCGCCATTTCGTTCTTGGTCATGTTCATGGTCAGCTGTACCGTCATCAGCTCCTCCTTCAACGTGCTCTCCGAGCGGAATAACTGTACCGGACAAAAAAAGCCGGATAGCTGGTTAACTCACTGTTCAGGGTTCGTGATGTTTCATATCGTCTAAACCCCTTTCACACTCAATGTTAATAATAGGAATACGGAAAACTGGTGTTGGTGTCACTGCGGAAGGGGAGATGAAACGGTCGAAACTCCTCCCAGGAAGAAAATTATGCTTCGGGCACGTGTCTCAACCTAACTTTTTGGACGCTTTTGAACGTTATTAAATAACTGGATGGTACAGCTAGGTACATGTAACTTTTCAGAGTTCGTGATTTTTAACATTGTATAAACCCCTCTGACACTGTCAGGTGATATAGGAGGCTGAACCATCAAAATCAACCCCCTATTTTCATTTTTTTTTATCAAGCCAGGAGGACGGAGGGCCCCTGAAACTCTTTCAACAAACCAAGTTCGATATGCTCTGTTGGGGATTCGATCTAGGGTCATCTGTAAGGCAGCTCAGCATAATACCAACGAAGCTACAAGTGCATCAGTTAATAGTTGTGATATGCCAAAATGAAGAAAGCACATGTATTTTAACGGCGTCCTAACCCATTCCTCTTCCAACCACGTACCCTCTTCTAGCAAGCAATAAATGGATGCTTGATACATCATTCATTTCTTAAAAGCGAACAAATATACGAATGTTTAACACTGCAATGTAATAATTTTAGAAATTACTTGGACAGTTGTGATGCTCGATGAAGCAGTCTTCTGCTCGCAAAAATTCAGCTCATGTCCACTTCCTTGCATAGGCCAAGAGCTTAACCACTACACCAATAACGCATCTCTACAGGGCTTACGTTTGTACACAGACTTGAAAATGGACACAAACACACACACACACACACACACACACACACACATACACAGAGAGAGAGAGAGAGAGAGAGAGAGAGAGAGAGAGAGAGAGGGTTAATATGGAGCCAATATCTAAAGGTTACAACTAGTCAGTGGCGTTTGCTCTTGTTGTATAAAAATTACCTCCAAGTCAAGACTGTTACGCCCTGGCTGCAATCTACATTTCAAACCGCTTTCTTATAAAAAGTTCGAAGTTGGAGGATTTTTATTTTGGAAACCCGATTCCTAATTCGAACTCAAAATACATCAATTATTGCTATTTTCTTCACTAAAAATTGTGCATACATAGAGAACTTGACACAGTAAAGTTCATCTATTATTGCTGTTTTCTTTTCCCAAAATTCGTGCATACATAGAGCCATTGCCACAACGATATCCCTGTACTGTAAGATGACCCGACTCATTTTTGTGCAGCGCAGAAATAGGACACCCTGAAGTAAATCCTATAGGATTATGTCCATGCCTTAACAATGCGATAAACCTTTCTTCTTCTTTTCTTTAAAACTACGTTAACGGAGAGACATGACCTTGGGGACGTAACGCACCAGGATCAGAAGATAGATGTAAAGATAGTGCTAGCCCACGCAATGACACACGCTCGCAGACAGAATGATGCATACATATACGTTCTATCTCCCCCACTCCCCCTTACCCATTCCAAACACAAACACACACGCACGCACA